AGAATATATTATATATATAATAGTAATATACAGTTTTGACTGCTCGCGCTTTGCCTTCTGACAAGCTCCGTCGTTGTCTGTGTAGGCGCGCAGCGACGAGTTTCTCGAAAGTGGTGAGCTGAAGCGCCTTCCACCAACCCGTGCTTGTTTGCATGCGATGACACCACTCGGCAAATGCTGCTTAGTAAGGCTTGCCGATGAATCTTCCTACTGATTGCAAACGCTACCACTTCATCTGCCAACAGTTGGCCCTCCTGCTGATAAACAGACGTAACTTCATGCTCCACCTGTCGGACAGGACTCATGCGAAGATGCTCAAATCATTGAATGTGACTCAAGTGTCAAAGACGCTCTTGCACAACAACAGCAAGGCTGCTCTAGGATTGCGCCTGATTGGCTGCGCCAAAATCCAGGGTCAAGATTTCGGCAGCTGCAGAGTCTGGGAGATCCAAAAGTTTGTGAATGTCCATCATGAGTTTCCAAATCATCCTGTCCTGCTACAATGAAAATGATGCTGATCTTGCGCAAGCTGCCCTGCTTGTGGCAAGTTGTCAGTCCTTGCGGCTCAGTAAGGCAACCTCCATTTTCATGTTGAGTACGCCTTTCGCATCGCCACTGAAGCCATATTTCGGCAGAATCTTACTTTGAATCTCCAGTACCTTATATAGTCCAGGGATGCCCAGGGAAAGAGATGTGGATCGACATCCAACACGGCTCACTTCCTGCCCAACAAAAGTGACGTCTTTGCAATGTGCCACTGCCTCTTAAGGCTTTGCCGAGGCACAAAGAGGGGACGCTTTGTTCCAATTTGCTTGTATTGGACCTGAAACTCCTTCTTTTTGTATTCAGAACGCAGTTCTGCCAACATCCAGGTCATGCTCGTGGAAGATGTCCTGGAATGCACTGGAACAAAGCAGCCTCGGGCATTTTTGCTAAAACCTGGCCTGAGCAGCCTCAGCGGCCCAAGTTGCTCCAAGATAGGCTGACTTCGTGGATTTCGCAGCTCCTCTGACCTCAGAGTTGCAATGTTGTTTTGCGATTTTTGCGATTTTTGCGGCATTCCGTGGATTGGGCGTCCAAACAGTGCTGTGATTGCTTTGGCTGCCTGGTGCTCAGGCGTGATGGCGTTCTGCAATTGGATTAAGACTTGACCAAGACCTCAGTATATGTTGAATTCTGCAGCAGGCAAGAGAGTGCACATGAACTGGCTGGGCGTCCCGTTGGACCGCTGGAAAGCATTCACTCGCAAAGTGTAAAGGGGTACAAATCTCAAGCACCTGAAATCTCATGAGGAAAAATCGTACAAGCGTCCGTTATAAATCGATTCACTTGCCCAGTCTTCTGCTTTGAAAGAGGACTACCAAGGTCTTCTCAAATCAAAAAAACATGTTTAAAGTTTGACTCAGCCAATTGCTGTGTTTTCCTGCACTGGGCGGTTGACCTGACATAGCTTGAGCTTGCGCTGAAGTGCTGTTGCTGCTCCTGGAGTTCCGTGCCCCAGGTGTGGAACAAACAAAGTGTCGCTTTGCCAAGCACATCGCTTTGTATTGTAACATGTTTCTATGTTATCATTATATATTCATCATATAGTGTTTGTCTATCATCTCTACTTAGCACCTAAAGAAGAATACAAAAGTATTCAAAGGTTATAGAAGCGAGTCCTAGCACAAAAGTTTTGATCTTTTCAATCCCAGCATCCTACGAGGGTGCATCAATGTAGCTGCCCAGCCACGAAAAGAGTCTCGCAGACCTGATGAAAATCTGAAGTCGAAAGTGGCTGCAACGTTGTTCAACAGCGCTTCTACTAGTTTATTTCGACTCTCTCAATCCTCTTTCGGTGTATAGTTTAAACCGCTTCAACATTGACATTTTTGGCTTATGCAAAACGAGTAGCCTCCAGGACGTGCTATGCTCCAGTAGACCTCTTGCAGGCCCTGAAACAACAGGAGGCAGCAAACTAATCATGTAAATTGTCTGAAACACAAAGCCACGACAGGAGCGAAGAAATATGAATAGATGTCAAGAGTCTGCAGCTCAGCCTTCCTTAGACCATTCATGTTTCGAGTTACAAATCTTAGGAGAAAACAGATTTGGGAAACCTGAGCCATAGGAAATGTTCACCTTTGTGGAGCAACAAAAAAAACATGTTCTTCGTTTTTTTCCGGTTTTGTTTCGTTTTTTTTCCGCGTGTTTTCCTTTTTTCGTTTTTTTCCACGAGTTTTTTACATGTTTGAAGGTCCCGGTCATCAGGTCACCTTAGAAAGAAAAAAACACGAAAAAACAAGCGAACAATAAAAAATAGAACGAAGAGCGAAAAAAAAACGAAAAAAACAACAACCGCATATATCTGCCAGCACGCTCAAAGGGGTGCCTAATGAATTTCAAGAATTGAGATTCTTAAGGGGTGCCTAATGGACACCCCTTAGCGTTCATGGAGATGGCACACCAGAAAATGATGAGTTCCAACCCCAAATCTTCCAATCCCACCCGCGTGGCATCTGTGGTGCACCCGACTTCATTTTTGGCGAGAAGAAATGCATGCGTTTCTTTTCGCGTCGGATGTAAAATGTTCCCAAGTTTCAAGAAACCTAGTCAAAATCGACACGAAATGACACGCGCAGGGGTTGTTCAAAAAGCACCCGACACGTTCTAAGGGGTGCTTATTAGACACCCGTTTGCCTAAGGGGTGCTTATTGGACACCCCCTACCGACCGACACGACACGGCAATGACACGCATGCGTTTCTTGATTTCCCAAAAAAACTCGTGACCACTTATGACTGACGACACGGCAATGACACGAAATGACACGCATTTCTGGAAGCAAACGTGGGGAAATCAAAGAAAAATGCACATATTACTATATCTGTTAGTTTGGAACCTTAAAAATTAAGGGGTGCCTAATGGTTACCCCCCTTAAGGGGTGCCTAATTGAGACCCGTTTGTACATCCTGGTGTATATTCGTTTTTTTGTGCCTTTTGTTTTTTCAAAATCGTCGTTTTGTTTTTTCCCGAATGCGTGGCAAGGGTTCCCGTTTCACTCTGGGGGTCTGGGGGTTGAGGGTGTGTTCGCTCGACGTTGCGTTTGCGTTCGCTACCGTCCGCAACCATCCGCGGGCGGTCACACGAGGCCTTTATGGCTGTGCCTATGGCGAGTTCTGCAAAAGGGGTCACTTTTGGAGGTTTCCAACGTCGCGTAGCCTCGTTTCGCGTGGCAGGCGTGGCACTTTGTGACATTCCAACATGTTTCATAGCGTGTCGAAAGTCGTTTTGCGTCGTTTTCTGAAGATGAGTTGCAGTTTTCGTGGCAGGCGCAGCAATTTGGAGACCTCCGTTGTCATGCCGCATGGCTGGCGCAGCACTCTTTTTGCGAATTGCATTGTCACGGCTGCGTGAAATGGTGACAACGTGCAAATTCTGTGGTGGGCGTGGCATTTTGTGAGATGTGATCAAAATTGTCGGAAGCCTCGCGCGAAACATCGATTTTTATTTTGAGGTAGCAAATTTGGAGGTTCATAAGAAAACTCGTAGGAAAACATCGATTTTGAAGCTACAAAGTGTGAAAATTGGAGGAAGTCTCGCACCAAATGCTCGTTTTGATGCTCCTACATGTCCAGTCTCGATTCTCTGGCTTTCTTCTGCCGTCGCCGTATCTATGGGGGAAGCTGCCAAACCTCTCCTTTTCGAAGGTTTCCAAGCAGGTTGTCATGTCGTTTTGCGTTGCAGGCGTGGCAAGTTCTGATATTCTCACGCGCTTTCAGAAGATGAGTTGCAGTTTTTGTTGCAGGTGCAGCACTTTGGAGACCTCCATCGTCATTTTGCGTGGCAGGCGCAGCACTTCAGCGTCGCGTGTTTTTTGCGAATATCATTGTCAGGGCTGTGTCAAGTGGTGACAATGTGCAAAATCCATGGCAGACGTGGCATGTTGTGACATGTGCTGACACTCCACACTCCACACTCTACTCTCTACACTCCACACTTCACAATCTGCACTCTACACTCCACACACTACACTCCACACTCCACACTTTACGCTTTACGCTTTTGACTCCACACTTTACACTTTACACTTGACACTCCACACTCTCTACACTCCACACTCTACACTCCACACTTTACACTTTACACTCCACACTCCACACTCTACACTTTACACTCCACACACCACACTCCACACTTTACACTTTACACTCCACACTCTACACTCCACAGTCTACACTTTACAGTTTAGACTCCACACTCCACACTTTACACTGCACACTTTACACTCCACACTTTACACTTTACACTCCACACTTTACACTCTACACTTTGCACTCCCCACTCTACACTTTACACTCCACACTCTACACTCTACACTTTACACTCCACACTCTACACTCCACACTCTAGACTTTACACTCCACACTCCAACACTTTACACTCTACACGTTGGACTCCGCACTCTACACTCCCCACTCCACAGTCTACACTTTACACTCCACACTCCACACTCTACACTTTACATTCCACTCTCCATACTTGGCACTCCACCCACTTCCGCATTCCACAGTCTACAGTGTACTGGTACGGTAACAAGGGAAAAATGTACAAGACTGTCCAAATAACTTGTTTCACAAAAGTGTTCTACGTGACTGCATTCGGGTTCGTGGGCTGCATCTTGTTTTTGTTTTTTTGTGGTTGCTTTTTTCAAAAAGTGGTTTGCTTTTTTTTGCATTGGTTTTCGTTTGTTTATATTGTTTAATTCCTGAGAAGTAGGCTTAAGGCATTTCACAAGTGTAAATGCTGTATACAGTATGTGCATATTTCAATGCCCCAAGCACAGTTCAAGACAAACCAAAATCATGTGGTCCCTACATACGACAAATGGGAAGGGCAGGAGACAGGCCAACCCTTGAAAGGCAGAAAAGGAATAAAGACAAGTACAGGACAGGAGACAAGACAGATAGATGCCGGATGACACTCCGAGGCGGACACACTCAGCAGTGCCCCAACAGTGAATTAGTTTTTTGGGAAAACACAAATAAAAACAGTATACAGAATGTATACCGTATGTATGTGTATCATTTCTGTACCATGTGTGTATATATGCTGTACATTACTACAGTAAGTATTACTATACCATGTCATGTGTAAAATGCGCACCTGGTTCTGCTCCAGCACAAGCCCTTGGAGTGCCTCACAAAGCAATGTCAGCGCGAAGCCAACTCTGAGCAGCTCCTCCAGCTACAGAAGCGAAAGCAGCGAAGCCGATTTTATTGCAAGGCCATGCGAAGCCCAAGCATTGGAATATTTGGAATTCACATGAATTCACAACTTTCTGTTTCAGGCATTTTCAGGCATTCCAAACATGACATGTGCACTTCATGTTCAAATTCACGCTGAGTGGCAGCCCCACAAGATTGACATTCCATGTAAGTGTGTAACCATCTGTTGGATGTCTGTCTGTAGATGTCAAATGCATTTTGTGCCAAGTGCGGATAAATTTTGGGACATGTGAATGTCCAAGACTTTGGGGCGACAGTGGCGACATACAGCCACCTTCGAGTAGAGCGAGCTCCCTTGAACTGCTTGTTTCACTTGCGCCAACACCTGCTCAGCAAGACACAGAAATCTACGAACCATTTATAATCATTTTTAGGTACCGTTGAGATTTCTGTAGGCTGCTGTGAGCCTTGGGCGCATCAGCTTAAGCGTGAATATACTACCGTATGTCATGTCGGCAACATCAGCTTGGCTCTCCATGCAGCAGTCCTACTTTCCCTGTCTTCAGACCGCCAATTGGCACAGTTTGTATGCTGCAAACTGACTCGCCTCGTTGAGGGCATCTACCAAGAAGACACGGGTAGTGCTCCAACTAAAAATGCCGTGAGCCACTTCAAGCTGATGAAGCTGACTTGCGCTGTCTCTTTGTAAACGGAGGCGACCGTCAATCTCCAGCTCCATCTCCAGCGCTTGTGCAAGGAGGTCCTCAGAAATTCCAAAAACACAAAGTTCTTGGACAAGAACTGCAGCCCAGAAACAATCTCAAAATCCATCAGTAGCAGCTTTCATAAGCTAGATGATCAAACATGCATGATTCACCCGTCCGAGAGGAAGCAAGAAAAACGACAAAATTGCGAATTTCAACTGCGCCCGATCTCCATGGTTCAAAACTGCATAAAGCTCTCCACAAACACAGTCCAACAAACAGGATTGCATGTAAGCAATTCCTCCAAATACTTGAGAAGTACTTGGGAATTAACTTGCTTTACGCCGCATTCTGGAAAACGCACCCAAGCCTGCTAGATTTTGACAAATGTCTTCTGGCAGATTGACTCCATGATCTGCATCCGCCTTGATCCTTCGACTTCCCTTCATGGAGAATTTGCTCCTGAGAGCGGATTGGGTCAAACTCGTCAAACCAGAACGGATGTTTTCCTATGAGGTTTTTTAATGTTTTTTACACTTTGCCACAGCCAATCAGGTTCTCCTACCTTCTGCTCTTTGTGCCACACACATCTTTCAGCATCGTCAGCCAAACAAGTCCAAGGAGATACAAGGAGATCCAAAAGGAGTCCAAGATGCTTTGGCTCTTTCAGCTTTGACTCTCTCGACTCGCTTGGGCTGATCTCACATTTCTGCTCAGCCACGGCAGCTGCGACAGCTGCAGTGATAGGAGTGTCAGCAGTCTTTGATCTCGCCTCCTGCCAGTCTGTTCACCCCGTTCACCCTACAGCCCTACAGCAAGTTGAGCCGATCTCTGGATGATCTACCAACTTCAGCGGGTTATGGGATCTTATGAGCGTGTCTTTGGAAAACTGCCTGCTTTCGCTGGTCTGGAATGTGCTTCAGTAGTCCGTTGTGTTACTCAGCAAGCATCCACTGCGTGTGTGACTTCGTTATCTGGCTTGCAAACCTCGTCTGATTGCACGTCCCACTAAGGCCGCCCTTGAAAATGATAGAATCTATCAAATCCCCGACAATTTGAGCCGACGAAACAAAAACAACATTGCAACATGGTCCTCTGGGCATCCAAGTAGCGCTCAATTGGTTTCAATGACCCTTGAACCCTGGATGAACATCCCTCAAGTGTGAAGCGTGTTAGTCATACCTTAGCATACTTGGTCATAATTCAAAAGATATGCGCTAGTGATGCTAGTGGGACATGAAAAATCAGGACGGGTGGATATGACAATGGAGACGCTGGCACGACGACAGTGTGCCGACGGCGTGACGACGATAGCTCGGCGGCACGACGACGATGTGCCGACGGCAAGACGGCGATGGACCGACAGCATGACGACTGCATGACGACGACATGACGACTATGCGACGACGGCGCGACAATCGTCATAAGCCGGGGTTTGACATGTCATAAGCTGGGGTTGGACGCCGAACCCGGGCTTATGACGGTCGTCGCTCCGTCGTCACGCCGGCGCGGCCGCCTGCGCGGCCTCGTGGTCTATGCGGTCGGTCTATCGTCGTCGTGCTGTCGTCGTGACGTCGTCGTGACATAGCCCCTTCGTCGTCATAGGGCCCGAACTATCGTCACAACCCTCCCGTCGTGGAGTTCCTGCTTCCACTAGAAAACCTGGCTTGCATGTGTAGAATTCAGCTAATACATACCGTCAAAATAAAAATTTGTAAAAGGATGCCGTTTCTGACTGCTTACAACTTCAAAATCGGTTGTCTCCTTGGATTGTAACAGTTGTAGAGGCTGCAAATCTATTTCTGCCACGGGTCCCAGGCGAGGCTGACACCTTGGAAACTATTGCAGCATGCAACGGTCAAGATTTCACAACCACGATGACACATCACAGAAACCTGTCGAATCGTCCATTTTGTTTGGCAAAGTGCCCACGTATTCTCGAGAGACCTTTCAAGCAAAAGTCCTCCTTGATTTTGATGTCAGAATCATTCTTGTATCCCTGGGACTTATTCTATGATATTATCCGCAGGCTGATGATGCAGGCCAATGCGCACCTCAAACTTGCACATTTGAAAAAATGCTTGAATTCCATTGAATTCCTATTGAAATCATGTGAAATCATGTCATGTTCTGCCAAAAATATGCCTCAGACACCAGAAAGATCCAATGCACACGACCAAGGGACAGCAGTACAGCACTGAACGGAAGGCTCTTCAGCTGATCTGAAGGTCTCAAGGCCTGAAACATGGTGATGTGTGAATGCCTGCCTACATCCTTCTCGACAATTCTCGACTATTCTCGACTACTTGTCCTATTGTCCGAGTTATTCTTTCATGTCAAACGCAAACCAACTTCAGAGCTTTACTTTGTGCGGTGCTTTGTGCAGTGAATATCAATGTTCAATTAATTTAATTCAATTTACAGTGTATCAATCCATGCATTCCATGCTATCTGAGAATCTGACTTACCACACTGTGCATCACTGTGCCACAGCCCGACTGCCTGGTGTCCTTCGAGCGCCCAGCCCTTTTCACGGCGTTGAAATCGCTCCCGTGCACCGAGTTGAGCTCCTGTGAGGCGAAGAGACCCAAAGACCGGCGCCAGGTGCTGATGCAGCTCCTGCGCAGAAAAGCTGCAGAAACTGTACGAGACTGTACCAGTACAGGGATGGAACAGTAGGGCAGTAGGGAAGTGCGAAGATGTGAGAAGTATTTGTTCGGACTTTGCAATCCATGCTCCCGGCACTAGTGCCTCCGTGGAACACATTGCAGTCTTGCAGTCAAGTTTGAACATGAAGACAAGCAAACATGGAAGCACTCTGACTACACTGCCTGCTTGCCACTGTCACTACTATCTTCTCACCAGCCACAAACCCAACCACCGTAGTCTCATCCCTCAGCTTGCCCACCAAGTCCTGTACAGTGGCCTGTAAAGATATTCTGAGGTTTCGATCATTGGACTGATACCTCAACTGCAAAAAGTATCAGAACAAAGGTAGAGATGAAACTTCATTCAATGAATTCAATGAAAAATCAAGCCACCAAGAGCATGAGTGGTGGCATTTTGACCCAAGCGCGAGTTCTGGGGCATAGAAAGTTGGTATTTGGAGGCACTGTTTACAAGCGCCTATTCGTGATGTATTCGTGATGCAAGTGGCATCTTCAGAGTCACCTCCACCGCATCCAGGGACTTGGTCACTGCTCTGGGAATCTGAAGAATTCCCTGGCACTTTTCCTGCAACGTCACACGCATCCTTCAGGCTCTCATCTAATGCTCCTGATTATCCGATTTATCTGTTCATGTGCTTCACGATGCATCAAGCTGAAACATGCAGACTTGTTTGTCAGGAGGGAGAGAGATTGAGAGAGCAAATTTACAGTACTATAACATAGAGGAAAAGAAGAACAAACCAACATATAGATACTGTAATAATACTGTATGATACTGTAGGTACTAGTATGGTGCAAATTGGAAGATTGAAACGACGAAGAAAAGACCAAGAAAAGTCCATCTTTTCAGGCTGCTAAAGCTACGGTGGTTGCTCCTCCCTCAACCGATGAAAACTACCTGAACCTGCCTCTCTAAAAAAAGTGAAGTTTATTCCCGCCTCTTCTGGTTGCAAGCTGGAAGGCTGCTTCGCAGTCTTCGAAATCTCTTTGGCTTCTGCAAGCCAAGCCATAGAAAGTGCCTTGACTTCTGGCTTGACAGGTGCCTCTGGCTTGACATCTGATGCAGGCACTTGGACTTCCAATTCTTCAAAGTCGAAGAAGGCCATGGCTCCGGTCTTTGCAGGTCTTTCCCCATTCAGGATACGCCCCTGTTTCACTTGTCTGATCTTGTCTGTCACTTGCCTCCATCTGTCTCAACTCCAATACTTCCAAACTATCATTTGAATTTATTCAATTTTAGGCTATTGTTGACCTGTTGAATTGTCTGCATGTGCCAAGCCAAAACCTTCTGCGGCAAAGAGTGAACCTGTTGCCTCACTGCCTGATGTCAGAGCTGCTGTCACAGGTTGCCGAGAGCACTGTTGGGGCAGCTACTGAAACGAATGAAAGCGTCCAAGGCAGCATCAATATCCCTGAGTGCTTCGGGGACTGCGCGAGATGGACAATGAGAAGGTCACAGCACGGAAAGCGAATGAAATTGGTCACTGGCAGTATCGATTTTTGACTGTTTGGAGGACTGTTTCTTAATTGTTTGTTGACTTTTTGCAGCTGCAACCTAAGACAGACAGAGGGGCAAATAAGCTATATCTGTGCCCAAGCTATGCCAAGCCACCCCTTTGGTGCATTCTTCTCCACAAAATCTGCAATCTCAGAGCTGGCACTGCCTTGGCTGAAGTACAGGAAATGTTGAAGAGACACCGGTACAGCTCATGCTTAGCAAACTTCACCCCTCTCATGTTTTAAAGACGCAACATGACAGATCTAAACGCAAAACATAAACTGTGCTTGTTATGCTTCTTGCAGCTTGCTGTTTCCTTCACATTTGGAGCCGTTAGGGCCGTTAGGGCAGGGGCTGAGTCCACTGAGTTCTTTGAGTCCAGTGCATGCAACAACCAGCAGTGGAAGCAGTGGAAGTACCTCAGAGACGTCCCACGCCGCATCCCTAACCTGACAGATCTGACAGATCTGACAGATCTGACAGATCTGACACGCCTAAATCAAGGCCTAAACGACGGAACTCCGACGGATGAACTCCAATGAACTCTGAACCAAGCGTAGACCAAGCGTAGACCAAGTTCCGAGCTGCCATGGCTGGGACCGCTAGGATGCTTGCCGGTCTTGCAAAATATCAACACTGCGTTCTGCCTACACCTGGAATAACCTTTCACAAAGCATGTAAAAAAAGTCGAAACAGCTACCTTAGAAAACAGGTCACTGCAAGATGCTATTTTGAGTCTTTGAGTTGTATTTCGCAACATCTTAACATTGCATGTTGCGCAAACAAGTGAAGATTCCTAGGCTAAACAGCGATCTTGGATTTGCACTTACCAATGCGCATGCACCATGTTGTTAATCCGCAGTTTCTCAAGTGCTTGATCCAGAGCAGGTGGATTTGAACAGCATGCATTGCAAAATAAAGAAAGGCATGCAAAAACGCCAAAAACGATAGCAGCTAACACAACAAGAAGCTGCCGGGGATGAGTAAGCAAAAAATGTCTGAACCATCTGCCTCTTTGTTTACATGACTGTAACTGCCACACATATTTGCTAGTCTGCCTATTTATTTATTGCGTATTCTACACATTCGGGATATCATTTATGAACAAACTGTGAATAGTAAACATCATCTGTATGTCCCTATGTCTGTTTGTACTGCAGATACTAAATATACATAAATATATATATATATTACATATATATACACATGATATACACCATACATAAAGATATATACATAGCAAGAGAAAAAATGTAAAAACATACACGTAATTGACCGTATCTGATGTATCTGATGTATCTGCGAATTCAAAGTGCTGTGCTCGGTGCCTCAGGAGGCGATCATTCTCTGGTGCTGGCCAAACATCTGCGGAGGCGCTCAACTCGGCCTGGCAGAAAGTGCCCCACGGCTGCGACGGGCCACAAAGACACCCTAGTATTGCCATATGCAGCATGCCTCAGCATGCAGCGTCTTCACAGATTTAGATATCAGAAATCACCAGGTTGATGCAAATTCATTTCAAATTCTCCCAAATGCCATGCAGCAGTGCATCATTTGAATTAAGGAATTCTCTCCAACGCAATGACCCTGTTCTCAAGCACTGCGCCAGGCTTGCCCATGCCTTTTTTCTCTGCTCGCTCAAATCCTGCAAGCTGCTGCCATCATACCTTTCTTGCGGATCAATTTGACCTTTCCAGAACATCAGTAAAGGTTACCTGTCTTTCAAATGAACTTCATCCTTATAATTCTATACCATTCTCTCTTTTTTGTGAAAATTCCCTTTCGGCCCACTGCCCTGAGCTCCTCGGGAGGTTTTGCCACCTCCGATGGATGAGTGATACTCTCAGCTGGCCAGGCACCTCCACAAAAAAAATTGCAAACAAAATCGATGAATTGACTCGCAGAAATGATCGGAGCCACAGCACAGCTGGCAGACTAGCTGAGCATGCAATAGATGAAATATAATGAAATATGATGAAATATGATGAAATGGCATTTGGGTCTGCAGCTTGTTGCATGACCTACATCCGAGACTGTCCAAGTGCCGGAAAACTATTGTCTGAATGCTTCTCTTCAGAATCTTAGAGAGCCGTGTAGTTTGTTAGAGTTTGACTGGCGCAAGATCAGTTTGGGTGGCCCAAGATCAGATAGTCCTTGTGCCTAGCCACGTCAGCATTTAGACAACACTACATATGCTATCCGTATTTGGCATTACAACTTGCAGCCAAACTACTTGGTGGGGCAAACCATGGCCCGCCTGGGGCTAGCTCGACGACATTTGCCTTCCTCTGGCAGCGAACGCTGTGCCTTCAAGGTCTTATAAAGCAATGTCTCTGATGCTGACGCATGCTGACGCATGCTGACGCATGCTGACGCAGAGATGTTCTTTGGCCACACCTTTGTCGCGAAACCCACGCGCCAAGAGCAAAAACGGCAGCTGCACCAGCTGCCTCCAGACTGGTTTCACTGCAGTGTCACAAAAATCTGATGGACAGGCTTGTTTCATCCAATGGTTCATCCAATCTTCCTTTTACTCACATTGGGAGATGAAGTCTCAGTGCTTTGACGGACCTGCCCGGTTCTAGAAGGCACAGATGGCTTGAATGGCCCAACACCTTCCGGTAAAGCGAACCACGGAAAGGGATATCAAGAAGAAACCAAGCGGCAGACATGATTTCTGTGTTGATGGCTTGATATGGCTTGATATGGCTTGATGCATCTCATCCGTACTCCAGTTTGCAAGACTCCAGCCTTCAGCTGCAGGCCTGCGGTCAGATGCACATGATCTACTTGCCGTTGTTAGATTCAAATCCGCCCGCACCGAAGGTGCTGGGGCGTGATCTTCCGGATGGCACTCGTAAAAGGTTACAGGTTTACCTGGGGGGGGGGGCATTTTTCGGCCAAAACCTCCTGTTTTTGATAGGTCGTGACGCTCGCCTTCAAAAAACACTGTAAAAAACAGTACGGAAGACACCTGTTCGTGAACGCGCCCGTCCAAAATCGGCAAGCGAAAAGTGAAAAAAAACCGTGTTTTTCAACTTTTTCATTGTGCTATATACAGTCGACTACAGCCGACTACAGCCGACTACGGCCGACTACAGCCGACTACAGCCGACTACAGCCGACTACAGCCAACTACAGCCGACTACAGCCGACTACGGCCGACTACAGCCGACTACAGCCGACTACAGCCGACTACAGCCGACTACAGCCGACTACAGCCGACTACAGCCGACTACAGCCGAGCACAGCCGAGTACAGCTGAGTACAGCCAACTACAGCCGACTACAGCCGACTACAGCCGAGCAAAGCCGACTACAGCCGACTACAGCCGAGAACAGCCAACTACAGCCAATCCCAGCCGAGCACGGCCGACCAGCCGAGTACAGCTGAGTACAGCTGAGTACAGCTGAGTACACAGCCGACTACAGCCGACAACAGCCGAGCGCAGCCGAGCACAGCCAAGCACAGCCGAGCCGCCGAGCACAGCCGAGCGGCCGATGACAGCAGAGCACAGGGGCCTTGCAGGAGCAGATTCTAACCAAAGCAGGCTAGCAGTAACCAAGCTTAACAATTTCTGACAATGAGAGCCTTCAGATTCCAAATAAAGTGACATGGTTTAGTTGCATTCGATCACGTGACATTCCTTGGCCTCCTCTCCTGCACACAGCTAATTGTTTTTTTCCTCGAGTTTGGCCGATGTCGCGCTAAGGCTCGGTCCTTACAGTGTCTGCACACAGCTAATTGTAGCATATTGTAGCAAAAGTGGATCATTTGAGTGCCTGGTTGAACTTCCACAGGTGTTTAGTTCAAAATAAACGAGTCCAGCACAATTCCAAAGAACCAAATCATAATTTGACATACTTTGACCGCGTTTTTCATGCAACTATTGCGGGTTTTGGGTACGCAAATTCTTTTAACAAATTAGTAAATTTATTAAGCCTAAGTAACATTAGTGAATTTGGAGACTAAAGGTAGCCTGCATGGGGCTGGTTGACCCTGTAGAAAATACGACACGCATCCAAATGCCATTCCGAACAAAAAGAAAAATCTCCAAGTCCCTTCTTAACTTCGAACAGCATGCTTCACAGTGGAGGTCCCCCAACTGAATTATAATTGCACGAACTTGCCATCAAAACTTTCAATTTGCGGATCAGCATTTGGCAAATTTGCTGAAATTTATGGCCAGTCTGAGTCTGGGGACACCATCGTATTTTTCCGCGTCGTTAATGCCCAAATTCTTTTGCAAGTGACTGTGAAAGTGAAAGTGAAAACTGAAGGTTACTTTTTGCTCCCATTATATATTTATATAATATGAGTAGTGAGTTGAATTTGCTTGAGTTGTATTTGAATTTACTTGAACATAGGGACACAAGGTTTTCAGATGTTTTTGCACCGTATCGGGGTTTTGGTGAATTTTCAGAGCATATGAGAATTTTGGAAATTGGACAGATTTATGCCGGTGGACTGAAAACCGTGCTCGTAAAACTAACGTCTTTGAGAACATGCAAGCACGTTACTAACTTCTTATTTTTCATGAACCACTTCCAATTAAGTTACTAACTTCTCTAACCACTTGCATGGGGTGGGGTGGGGTGGGGTGGGCTA